GCGGCCGATCTGCTGAGTAATCCACTCCGCCTCCGGGCGGGGGCAGACCCCGAGGCCGAGCGGGGCGCGAGCCGGCGGTTCGGGTGCTGTGCCCCAGGCGGACGGGCGTGCTGGGGAGTCGCGGGTCCCTGCCCGTGGGAGGCTAGGTGCCCAGAGGGCCACTGCCAAGTGGCACCCGGTCCTCCCCGACCTCCCCACTCCCTTCCCGGCGCCGGGGAGCCTAACGAAGCCTGTTGTCTTTGCAGCCTGGTGCCTGGGCGCAAAGGGCGCGCGGAGACGCGGTTGAGGCTGGGCCTGCGAAGACCTCCCGGGCGCCCCTCGCCGGCGGGCCGGCTCGCCCGCCGTTGCTGCCCCGGCCCTTCTCGGCTCCTGCGCGCACCTCTGCCGATACCAGGGAGTCGTTGGGGGTCGCTTGGGCTCCACCCTCTTCTTGGCTGGTGGGCACCGCGTACCCCCGAGGGGGCAGCCTGGTGGGCGCAGCCCCTCCCAGTCCAGCGCTGATGAGTGCCAGGGCGCCCAAGGAGCTGAGGCTGGCTCTGCCGCCTTGTCTCCTCAACCGGACCTTTGCTTCCCCCAACGCCAGCGGCAACGCCAGTGCCCGCGGCCCGGCCGCCGGCGGCGGCACCTGCATCACGCAGGTGGGACAGCAGCTCTTCCAGTCTTTCTCGTCCACGCTGGTGCTGATTGTCCTGGTGACGCTCATCTTCTGCCTCGTCGTGCTGTCTCTCTCCACCTTCCACCTGCACAAGCGTAGGATGAAGAAGCGGAAGATGCAGAGGGCTCAGGAGGAATACGAACGGGATCACTGCGGCGGCAGCCGCGGCGGCGGGGCGCTGTCCCAGGCAGCCAGTCAGGCCCAAGCGCAGGGAAAAGAAGCCCGCCTGGAGAGGCAGCCCCGGGACTCTGCCTTTGGAGGCCCCTCCAACGCCTCGTCCTCCTCCTCGTCCCCTGGTCGCCAGTGCTCAGGCCCCTGCCCTCCTCCGCCTCCACCACCAGTCCCCAGTCCACAAGGAGCTCAAGCAGCCTCCTCGGGTTTGGACACTGCTGGCGAGGGCCTTTTGCAAACAGTGGTACTCTCCTGATTGCCTCGCCCCTCGCCCCTCCCCACGCGCCTGCCCAGCTCTTTGGCTACCTTTGCTTTTGCCCCCTCCCTCCTCCCTCTGGCCTTCCGTTGCCACGTTCCCCGGGGCCCCTCTAGACTCTTTCTTCTCTCCCTCACGGCCCTCCCCTGACTTTGTTTCTCCTCCGCCGAGGCACTGTGCGGTATTTGTAAATATTGGGCGAGGAAAGTCTGGGAAGAAGAAATAACGCTGATAATAACACTTTATTAATATTTATAGCAATTATTATACTACTAATAACACAATCCAAGCGCATGACAAATCTCGTAATTTCTCATTGTCCATGAAGGACGCGGCTTCCCTCGCCACCCACCCCACCCCCACAATAAGGAGGAGAAACTGCACAAGCTACCCAGCACGTCAAAGGCGTTGATGCCCGGGAACAAAGGGAGGGGAGGGGGCCCAGTGATGTTGTACATAGCTATCAAGTTAAGGTTCAGTTACCTTTCCCCTCCTCTGCCCCCTAAGCTTTCACTTTCCCTCCAGCTGCCTTCTACCCATTCCCAACCCCAGCAGGGCTCAGGCAATAACGTATTATAAAGGGAACATCTCCGTTAAGCACCAGGACTGCAAGAGGCCGCAGAGACAGTTCTACAACCTGGTGAAACGCATGTAAAGAGACTAGATGAAAGATAGATATTTCAATCCAGGTGAACCCAGAAAAGGAGATAATTAGGATAGTTACCTCTCTCCAGTTTTCTCCCCCCATTCACTTTTCCAGGGCAGGACATTTTAATTTAGTTTTAGAAATGCCCCTCGCTGGTCGAGCATATGTACATCAAAATGATTGAGTAATTTAAACAAAAGCAACATTAATCTTCTCCCCCCTACCTCCAACCCCTTGCTTCCTGCCGGACCTGTACACCTTTGACTTGTGGCACTTCCAGGATTCAGAGCATTCGGGAGCTGTCCAGCCAAGACTGGTGCTGACATTGCCTCACCATTCTGGTCACTGCCTCTGGGTGTGCAGGTGGAGAGGGGCTGTTTTGGAAAGTGACTATTCTAGTTTCCGGTTAGCGTCTTTGTTTTATACAAGTGGATTTGCGTGTACTGTTGATTTTTCTTATTATTAAACATCGCATACGTTAACATTTTTTTTTAAAACAATGTATTAGGTGATGTGTAGTACTGGAAGTGCAGTATCTAACCAATCAGAATGTTTCTGCTTTATTTTTAGAACAAGTATACCTTTGTTATATATTTATTCTATCGGCGCCAAATACTGAAGCAAACTACAGTTCTGTACTAGGTCCTCCAAACTGTATATTCTTGTTCTTAATTTCCAGCTGTTGATATAATGGCTACCACTGGATGAGGAATTCCGTAGCATAGACCTGGCTTCTGCTATTTCCAGAAGTGTTCTTTTGTACCTGACCCTGTAGTAGACTGTTATGAGAAGATGACACCTATGCTTTCTCTTTTCGTTTGTGAATAACAGAAACAACCACCACAACAGAAAACAAACAACTAATGGATGTGCAGGAATGCCATCTATTAAAACATGGTGAATATTTAAACAGTGCCTGTAGTCCTCCCTGCATGCAATGACCACCTGGAGGTTGTGGTGTGTGTGCTTGATTGTGTATGTGTTTGGGGGTGAGAGTGGTGGGGATATTGGGCAATTTGGATGACCGGACATGTAAATTTCTTTACAGCTTTTGCTTAATTAGAAATCTGAGTCTGCCTCTGTATTGCAACAGAGATGGCACCTCTGTCTCTTTCTGAATCTGGCTTAACTAACTTCGCTGAATACATGATATTGAGGGGGGCGGGAAAGTGGGAGAAGATAGATATTTTGTTCTTTTTCCTAATACCAGACAAAGCCCTCTACGGTAGAAATGCAGTGCGCATTCTATTGGGAACCCAATTCTTAGAGAGCTGAAAATATCCAGAAATCTGGAAAATGGATGGGAGACAAAAATGATCTACAAAAAGCTCAACCAAAAGAGTCCTTACTAACCTGCAGAGTGTAAGGCAATAGTCCCCACGCCCCCTTTCCAAGTAATTAGTTGTTCTAGACACTCTGCCGTGGTTTCAGAAATATGTGCTCTTATCCAGAAAAACATTTACTTCTGACGTTTTAGGTAATCTACTAAATTGCCAAGAGCAGTCAGGGTGTTTATAAAATAATTTAATAAACTTAATTGTAATCACCCAACAAGTTTTAACTCAAGTTTTCCTGAAGCACAGAGGATCATCATTGAAGCATATTGTGTTGCAGCATTAAGAAAACCAGGTATAATCTCGGGTCCCAAAATAATGAACCAGATTCTCTCCAGTGCCTTTGTCACTTCCTAGTCATAGTTAAGAGAGTGCATTACCTCCCTCAGACCACCAGGGAATCCTTCAGCTCTGCATTGTACATCAGAATGACTAAGGCACTGTGAAGAAGAAAGTCCATTAATTTCTGTAGCTCACCCCCATACAGATGTAGCTCTTTAATATCTTACTGCAGAATGTCTTTCAGATTTGAAATTTGAAGGGAATCAAAGAGCTTCCTCATTGCCAATGAGCTCCACTAAGTGCATGGATATTACTTTTTCCCCTTTATTTGGTGCACTTTTTACAGTGAATAATTTCCCATTTTATTAAAGCAATAAGAGGTTCTGTTGTGAGCCGTGCTGGATGATGATTCCATTTCCTTGGTGCTGAAGCTACTCATATGTTCTTGCCTTATGAATCATAGTGCATTCAAGGCATGCAATAATAATCCCCTTCCAAGGAGCAGCCTGCAAACTCCAGGGGATAACTATGAAATTGCCCTGTACTAGTTCCCCCCCAAAGGAATAGAAGGCGGAAGATAAATAAAATTATGTATATTGTAATAAAAAAATCTCGATACCTCTTAACATGGGCACACATATTTGTAATGTGCTTTTACTGCGCACCTTTAAATGTATATGTCTCTCTTCATTAACTGACTGGTCTAATATTTTAAAGAGTGCTTTCATGTAAAGATTATGTGGCTTTTGAATCAAGTTTCATGCTGAGTTAAATTCACTCAGGACCCTAAGCTTCCAGTGGTGTCACTTGAGATGTATTTTTTTAATGAGATAGAAAGATAGTTACAAAAAATTTAGCCATGCCAGTTCCTACACAAAATTATTGCATTGCAAACATATCCAAGCAATTTTCACAGGCCCTGTTTAAAGCACTGCTTTGTGTTGAGCTCAATGGACAGTTTCTGGAGTTGGGATACTACCAACAGGGCATTTGGATTTTTGTTTACACAAAACACAAGGGAATCTGGAAAGAGCTAAATTATTTTAAGGATTTTATTCACTGGTGTCCCGTCAAACTAATTGCTTCAAACCCCTATAGCTACAGCTCAACTTCTGCACTTACTAATCAGTATTAATATGGTGGCATGCTTGATTCTTATGGTTTTTAGAAATGAGAAAATTGGAGAAAGAATGCCATTATGTCAACTGTATGGGACTCTGAATCTTAAACTGTAGATGGCTATACTCTTCTTTAGAATTTATATATGCCCATAGATATGTATTTATATATGCACACATTTTGTACAAATTTACAATTGACTTTTTGTATTCTCTTTTCTGCCATTATAAGAATGAGATGGAAACCAAATAGTCCATCCTCTTACCCCGAGGATACTGAGAAGTCAGGTATATGCATGCACTTATTTTTTTTTCTGGGATCAAATATGAATGACTTTCTCTTTATTTAATAAAAGGAGAGAGGCCTGGCTGGCTTGAAGAATTGGTGATTAGATAAGCTTCCCCTTTTAGGTTAATGACTGAGATGTAGCAATGATATTCAATTTTTGACCATGTCAATGAGGTCCAAGAGTCTAGATGGAAAACAAAAATATCCAGAAGAAAGAGGTTTGCTGACATCTAGCCCCTAAACCTGGAGTATGGCTAGTGTTTTCATTTTTAGGCTATATGTAATGTAGAGATAAAACTTATACCTGCTTAAATAATATGGAGTGGAAGTATGACCATTATCTCTAGTTTAATGAATAGTGTTTTTTTTGCAAATACGGATAAAGTAGATTTAAACAATATTTCTTTGGCTCTGACTTTTATATTATTTTTAATCCTGATAAATTTCATTAATACGATAATGGCTAAAGTGTATTTTTCACTTTACAGACATGTTCTTTAAGTACTATTCTGTGGGTGACAGTTGAGTAACTGCCAGCTGATGCTATTCAGAAGTTACAGATTAATTTATAACCTCAGGCCCAATCCCATGTGAATCTAGACTTTGACCCTGAACTTGAAAGATCATTTATCTAGGCTCCTCTTCCTTTAAAGCAGTTATTGTGGTTCATAGATACTTCAGTTCACATTAGAATAAATTGCCCTATCACGGGAAGGGGTACTTAGTCATTAAGTTGAATGCAAATCTCATTCTGGTTTGTTTCTATTTATATATTTGGAAGCATTCGAGAAACAGCGTCTATGGCTTCACATCAATATTTATTAAAATCATTAACCTAATGAATACATTGGTGCCATGTAGGAGTGCTAAGCTAGTGTAAGAATTTAGTTCACTTTAATTGTGGGACAATGACTTATCAAAGTGATTTCCACCCGATCGATACAGGGATATTTCCCCAATACTTGCAGTTCATTTGATGGGTTTATAGAGAGATTAACAACAACAAAAGAACTATACAACACAACCCACAGAGGAAATGATCTTTGAACTCCAATATGTCCAACAGGCAGAATTAAACATCTTAGAACTCATGGAAAATCTGTTTTGCTTTTCTATCAATAAAAGCATTTTATTGTTAACTGGCCTTTCGTACACTATTTCCTTATCAACTTAATTACAAAATTATTCTTTGCATTACTCTTAGGAATTGTAGGGTTTACAGAAAAATTATCTACAATTCACCTGCTCTTCCTCAAAAACTAGCAGCAGAATAATGGGATGTGCATAAATTTTAGTTCAACCTTATAAATTTAGTCCAATAGGATAACGGCCCTGTCCTTTTAGGAAAATATTCATGGTCTTTAGGTCTAATGCTTAGTTTTGTTTTTAAGGTGCTTTACTTTCCTTGCTTTAGCTTTTCTAAGTTGGAAAAGGTGGAGAAGGATTGTGGCTTATGTGCGTTTGTGACATTTGGGGAGAAAGAGGAGCCCAAGATACCTGTGGATCCAGCTAATCCCTGTTGATAAGCAGCTGAATAAGACTGCTCCCTTCATTGAGGTGCTATTGTCCTATGGAGCGTTTGTGCTGACCTACATACACCACTGGAATCTTACATCCTAGACCTTTGTCCCCAGTCTCAAAGTCACCATCCACAAGAGCCGATGCATCCTGTCTGTTTCTGCCACTGGGCACACTGGTCCGGTCAGCACGTTGTGCCCTTGTTGGAGATACAGGGGCATTTAGAGGCCCTGCATGCCATGGGCCTCCTGTGGAAAAGCAGGGATTCTATCTCAGAGTCATTCATCAATATACCTTTTACTGCCACCTCCATTCCACTTTTTGTTCCGTGTTGGACGCTATCACAAGGATTTGTTCTGAGGTCTTGGAGCTTCACACTAATAAATTTTTAGAGGGCTTGCAATTTTAGCCCTAATCCTCAGGCTTCTCCAAAGAAATTTAGATGTTTACGAAATGCCACTCACTCTGTTTGCCTGCGAACTGTGTGGCAAAGAGCGACATGAAAGTCCTAATAGCAGTTGCCTCACTGTTCTGCCACTTATCTTTTTAAATTTTCTCCAGACTTAATGGCCCCTCCTTCTCTTTCCCACCTAAATTCCTTTCACTGTGGTGTAGCCAAAAGGTTAGCTTCCTGTTTCTTCAATGTACTTAGTTTCCTTTTTCTCAGCTTCAGCCTCATGACTATTAGAGTTTTAACAAGGTGTAGGAGACAGATAATTTTTAATGACAATAAATCTTAAATTGGGAGATTTTAAAAACATAATATAGCATGCAAAGGCAATGTTCTACATTATCCTTTGGTGAACAGTGACTGGGGTCTTAAAAGCTCATGCAATTATTGGTCTCTCCCCATCTGGATAGGAGAAGAATGATGAAATCAAAGGACACATGGAAACAATTTTAAGAAACTCACTGCCATGGAAGCAATCCTGGTTCATAGCAACCTGTTGTGGGTTTCCGAGACTATTCATGAGAGTAGACAGCCCAGACTTCTTCTGAGGAGCAGCTAGCTCCTGGTTTTGTACTGCTGACCATTCGGCCCACAGCCCAATGCTTAACCAGTACATAACTACGGCCCAATTAGTCTCTACAACCCTGAGAAAAGAAGAAATAGATGGTGTCTAGTTCATCAATACCAACTTCTCTGGAAGGGATGACAATAAAAGTCGTAGATAGACTAAAAGAAAAAATATAAAACAAACTTCAAAATCATAAAAAAATTTTTTTTGGCATACTGGACATGTATAAGCTGAGGGGATCATGAAGACTATGTTCCTTAGCCACTCTTCAGGTATGGAAATGAGCTTACCACCATGGTTCAATTTTCAGTCAAAAAATAGACAAATCTGTAGGATGAATGACAGCACTGAGGATGTATGAACACCTTAAAATAATCAAATTTGGGGGACAAAAATGATAGCATCTGCCCGAGAACAAACTTCTGAAGGGTTGGGAAAGAAGGAGGAATGAAAACATGTAAGAAGAGGAATCAGAGATGAATCGCTGTGGGCACTCCATCCCATGAGCGGAAACAGTATGTGTATGAAATGTTGAATGGAAACTTTATCTGCACTGTAAACCTTCACCTTGTTCACAATCAAAAGGAAAGAAAAGAAGAAAGAAACTTGTAATGCTTCCAGAGTAAAACTCTGTAGGCTTGCAAAGGGCACAGTTTTCATCATGAAGATCCCCTCCTCCAATTTTCTACACTTACTTAAACTCCCACTCAATCACTCCAGTTTTGACTACAAAACTTGCCTGCTGATTGAATGGTTTGCTTCTTACTGGTGGAGTCATTATTTGTTCTCCAAGAAGACATGTCTTCTTCCTAGTAATCGGTCCATTATCTGAACTTACAGAGGCTCAGGTTGTGCTCAGGAAGTGTACCGCTTGAAAGAGATACATTTCCAGTGGACGTTGAATACGGTGGGGGCGGTAAGTTGTTATCTCTACTTAAAGCAAACAAGAAATCGGGGTTGGTATCACAACCCAAACTCTCGCTATGCTCTTCAAAAATCTTGGTCTATGGTTTTTGGCATCTATCGGACATCCTTCTGAGATATCATAGGTGGCAGCAATATTTCATTATTTTGTGCCTTACTGTGGGTCAGGCGTTTCCAGTCATCCCGGGATCAAAAGGAAAGGACAAAGCCTGGGTCACTGAGTCCCAAAGGGGAAAGCTTCAACAGGGACGAGCAAAGAAAGGAACGCCTGGGAGACGGATTTCTTCAAGTTTGCCCTGTGGACAGGATGCTCTTCTCCCATTACAGTGGGGCCTGTGGGGATATTTACAAAGGATTGTGATTTTGCCACCATATGAAAATGTAGCAGTGCCCTGCTTTTAGTAACTTCATCTCTTTGTTCTACTTATACTTCTTTGTTTCTGATAGTTGTAAGTTAACCAGATTTCCTTACTGTTCAGCTACATTCTGATAGCTAACCTTGGGTTGGAGACTGGTTAAGTGTCCCTGACTGATTCATTATCCAATAATTTACCAGCTTCATTAGATGATTCCTTTTAACCTTCCACCTATAACATTTGAGAGTTTGTTTAGTCGAGAAATATGGAGAACCAACATGTATATGCCAGGTGTCATTTTTGAAATCAGTTTATTGGGGACTCATACAACTCTTATCACAATCCATACATCCATCCACTGTATGTCAAGCACATTTTATATTTGTTGCCCTCATCATTCTCAAAACATTTGTTTTCTACTTGAGCCCTTGGTATCAGCTCCTCATTTTTCCCCTCACTCCCAGCTCCTCTCTCCCTCATGCACCCTTGATAATTTATAAATTATTATTTTGTCATATCTTACACTGTCTGATGTCTCCCTTCACTGATTTTTCTGTTGTCCATCCCCCAGGGAGGAGGTTATATATAGATCCTTACAATTGGCTCCCCCTTTCTACCCCACTTTCTCTCCACCCTCCTGGTATCATCACTCTCACCACTGGTCATGAAGAGATCATCTGTCCTGGATTCTCTGTGTTTCCAGTTGCTATCTGTACCAGTGTACATTGTCTGGTCTAGCCAGATTTGTATGGTAGAATTGGGATCATAATATTGTGGGGAGGAAGCATTTAAGAACTAGAGGAAAATTGTATGTTTCATTGTTGCTACACTGCAGTCAGGTATCATTTTGAGTGCTAGAAATACAGCAATGGACAATCCAGGAGAAATGTCTTGTCTTCATTGGGGATTTCATTCTAGTGGATAGAGACAAAAACAAAACCAAAAAACCTCCAAAATACTATGTAGAGTGCAGAATATATTTTAGACAGAAAAGTTCCATGAAGAAAATAAAATTGAAGATATATAATCAGTGTGACAGGCTAGTGCTGAATTTGAAGTAAGGATCTCAGAGTAAGACTCATGAAAAATATATTTGAGCATGTAATTGAAAAAGTCATGTAGATATATGGATTGGTTGATTATTTAGGTTAATAAGATTTCTAAAATCTATTTTACCTAAGTCCATGATTTTACGAAAAAATACAAATGCTCATAGGAAAAGGCAAGAAGGCAACGAGAGTGTTGAAGGAGAAATGCGGCAAGTAGGAGAGCGCTTCCATAAGGAGGAGTATCCGCTGAAAGCACTTCCTGGCAGCAAGAAAATAAACTTAAAAGCTAAATATATTAAAAGTGCTTAAAGTGGGAGAGCAGCAACACCTGCTAAAAGACTCCCCTTTATTGTTGACCAGCACCATGACCTGCAATTCCCCGGGACTGCTTCTTCTTTCAGGTCCCTGAAGCCACCCACCCAGCCAAATCTCTTATGTGCTTGGCTTCTGGGGATCCCACACGGAAAGCAGATTACATGGGTAGCTAGGTGCAGACATTCTCAGTACTCAAGATATATCTCCATAATATTTTCTTCCTCTTATTTATTTCCTTCTCCAGAACCCTTTCCCTACCATGTGATCCCCTCTCCCAACACAGCATATACATATGCATAATAACACAACCAAAAGACCAGAAATCCCCACCCACAAGGCAGTTTTGTTTTAAACTTTATTGTAAATTCTTCATTTTTGTACTTTCATTCTCCTATAATACTTTCATTATTTGTTCTAGCTCTCACCCATTTCCACAGGCCAGTAGGTGGAAAGTCTTGTGGATCCAGTGGCAGGGGAAGCATTTCAGCTCTGGTGTGCATCTCCACGTGACCCCTCCAGCTTCAGGGCTCTGGCTCCATCAGCATAGCTTCATGTGGTTGTCTGCAGGAATACGAAGTAGAGTGTGGGTCTGGTCTCCAGTGAGCTATTTATCTTTATAGTGCTTCCAAAGGCGGTCATAAGCTGTGAACTGATTGGCAGGCTAGACTCCACACCTTCACTTTTAATAGTCTTAAGTTAACAGCAGATTGTGTAACTACCACAAATGGTGTTGGGAAAAATTGGATTTCTATATACAAAAGAATGAAAATGAACCCAAGATGTATTAGAGACATAAATGTAAACCCAAAAACAATAAGGGGCATTAATGAGAAAATTGAGACAAACCTAAAGGTCCTATTTGCAAGGCATACACAGGCTACTAAATATAATAAAGGTAGCACAGCACCACAGTGAAAGATGAAATAGATGACTGGAACTTGATACAAATAAAATACTT